CCTGCTGGGATGGGCAAATGCCATAAGAATCTGCACATGGACCCAGCTGTGAATGAAGTGTGCTTCTGCTTTCTAATGAGTTTGGGGGACTTTTTGTTTGTTTGTAGGCTCATGAAAGCCTCATAGATGGTCATTTTCCTGCACCAGAGGACACTCTGCAGCGCCTGGCAGCTCTACGGCTGCAGTACCTTCATGGAGATTATTCTAAAATAAGCTGGACCCTGGATGGAATCTACCCAGTTAACAGGCTAAAATCCAAAATACTGCACTCAACAAAGAGCAGTGGCACTACCAGTCACACGCTGGAGAGGAGACGGACCAGCTTCCTTGAAGGGACGTTGAAACGTAGCTTCAAGACAGGCTCTGTAAAGAAGCAGAAGGTCGAAGAGGAGCAGATGATGGAGATGTGGGTAAAGGAAGAGCTTTCAGCTGCTCGGGCAAGCATAGCACAGAAATGGACCAAGCTGCAGGGACTCTCTCAGCATCAGGCCATGGTGAAATACATGTCCATTGTAAAGGAGTGGCCGGGTTATGGGTCAACCCTCTTTGATGTTGAGGTGAGCGATGTATAAACTCATGTAACTACTGCCAAGGAGAGGCATCAGTCTGGAGAGCAGATACAGCTGTGTGTATTACATTGCTCAGCAGCAGAAGGGAATTTCAGGACTGGCTGCATTTTGCCCCAGTAAGCTTAGGGTAAGCCTGCAGTACCACATAGCCAAAGAGGTGTGATGCAGAGAGCACAGAGCAAGCAAGCTGATGCATCCCGGTAAAGGGAGGGAGGCAATGGGTTCCCACTTCATTAGAAGAGCAATAGAATTTGGGAAATTTTTCTGAGCTTAAGAAGGTGGTGGCTAGCGAAAGCAGAAGTAAAACGAAGCTCTATTGTCCTTACCAGCAAAAAGTGCAATCCTGTTCTGCAGCAGTACAACAGAAACTGCTCAGACTGGGTGACTTAGTCGACTGTGCTTAGCCTGCTAGAGTAGGGATCCACAGTTCCAGTTTTATCAGTTTTGTTGCTGCCTAGGTGGATTACCATGGGAAGTTGCTTGCACTCACTATATTATCTGTAAAATAATAAGTGGAATATTGATTTCCTAAATCACTTTAAAATCTTATTAGAGCTGTTAGGTATTACAATTCTGTATTACTCAGCTAGTATTTGACTCACAGCCATGTCACTTCTAAATCTTTGCAGCAGGAGTGCCTACAAGATTCCTTCTGCAGACATCCTATTTTTTCTATTGGGGTGAAGAGTTGAAATGTCCTGTAGGAGCCAGAAATGGAGGGCTTTTCCTTGAATCAAAGATGATTTGATCCTCCACCGCATTTATGCAAAATTTCATGTTTCTCTTTCTGCAGTGCAAGGAAGGTGGATTTCCAAATGATCTTTGGCTTGGAGTCAGCACAGAGAATGTGTCTGTCTACAAACGAGGGGATCCTAAACCACTAGAAACTTTCCAGTATGAGCACATTGTTTTCTTCGGAGCACCACAGCCTAACACCTTCAAAATTACGGTGGATGAGAGAGAAATGTTCTTTGAAACATCCCAGGTACAAGACTTGTTCTATGAGCAGTTTTACTAGCACTTCAGTAAAGCCCTAGTTTCCGTGGACTAGACAAGCTCATATGCGAGAACTCTTGCTGAATGGACTGGACAGCCAAGGAAAAAGATGAAGGGAGCTTAAGCCTGAAGTGCCATGGTACCCCTTCTTGAATACAGGGATAAACAGAAAAAAAAAAGGTGCTGGTTAGAAAGTGAAAGAGGTTGAATGTCTTCCAGTGCACTGGGAATTTCAAATTTTGGGTGCTCATGCATGTGCTCGGTTTTTTCATTCCCTTCCAGTATATGAATGGGGAGTTTACAAACTAAAAAAAAAAAAAAAAGTTTAGTAGCATTAAAGCTGCTTTTCTTTGAGCTACAAGCTTTTTAAGTGTCGCTACAACAGAGCACAAACTTGTCAAGCATTTCTTTCCGTACTGTCATGTTCGCATTTAGTATTACATGCAAAATTTATAGTGCCGTGACCTTGGACAAGGGGACTCTTTTCCTGCAAAATGCCTGGTATGGTATGCCTCAGTGGAATTAGGTTTGTAACATGCTTATCCTCTGTCACTGTGTTCTCTCTCCAGGTGGGCGAGATAATAAAGATCATGAAAGCATACATCAACATGATTGTGAAGAAACGTTGCAGCGTCAAATCAGCCACGAGTGTGGACAGTCATGCTAGCATCTGGACTAGGTGATATGAATGAACTGCCAAGAGAGAGAGGCAGTTGTTTAATGATTGGTGTTTGCAACTTGCCAGCACAAGTGTAGCAAAGATGTTTTTTTAAGAACTCCACTTGACTGACTACTGTATTTAAAAACTGAAGCGACATCTACAGTACCATAGGATTTGCACCTCTGCCCAAAGACATTGAACAGCAACAACTGTTGTTAAATATTAGCGGCCCAAAACTTCTTCTTCCCCTTGCTTGTTTGTTGGACAATGTACCTTAAAGAAGCAACGTCAGAAGCATCCTCCTTCTCCTGCCTGTCCTCTCTGCTGCTTTCACCATTACCTGTCATACTGGCGGAAAAATTCACAAGAATTGTTTCTGCACTACAGGAGGCAAACTTAAGCTTCCTTATGAATTTCCAACATGCAAACATCTGGGATCATGGGATCGCAGCATGTTCTACTAAAAGAATATTTGGTTTTTATTTATTTTGCAAGCAACTCTAAAATATAAGTCACTGGCTTTTTTCTTCAGGATATGCTAATGATCCGACCTGGTCTTAAAAGAAAATGCCTTTGTATAATTGAAGCCAAGTGGTCCAACTAAGAGGTCAAACCCTACATGAGAGAGTATTAAACAAACAAACAAACAAAAACACCTGAGGTGATTCTTTACCTTCCAATAGAAGTTCACAGGTACATGACTGCAAAAAGCAGCACTTCAAGTTAAAATTCTAAATACTCCAACATAGGAGAAAATCTTTGGGACTAGCACCACTGAAGCAGATCATCAGGTGCCATTCTGGGTACATTCCAAGCAGCACCTGTTGCCTAAAAAATAATGACTGCCTTTCACCTATATAGCCCAGGAGGTGAGATTGATTTAGTCACATTTCCAGAAGAGCTGTTCTTCACAAACGCCAGGTTTTAGATGGATGTCAGGGGCTTTTATGGTGAGCAGCCTGCGTTAAGTTGCTTCTTTTTTTATATGGGATTTTAGGATGGCTGGGATCCCTGAACTTTAAAGTGAACTGTTTCCTCCTGCGTGAACAGGTGCCTAGATTAATGGCTATAGGCAAGAATTTCACTTCCTCTGTACTACTGTAAGCAGATGCCAAACCCTTCATCCTCCTCCAAATTCTAATTGGAACTGCTCCCGCCACTGAATCCCCAAATCCCCTTCCAGTCTCCTCTAGGTCCCTAGTCATCAGCAAAACTTGAAAACAATGCTGTTTTGCCAAAACAACTGCTGCTTGGAGGTTTTGATAGCTACTTGCAATTTGAAGAAGCAGAATTTTTTTTTTCTTCTTGGTGAAAGATAAGATAATAAATTGGTTGCATTAGCAATCAAGAAACCTGGCAGCTAGCCATTTTCTATGACCCTTGTCTAGTCTTGGGATCCCAGGCCCGTTCAGTTTCTTAATGAAACCGAAGAGCTGTATGTAATGTGGGCCTTGTTCCACGTTTACAGTCAGATGTCTCCGTTTCTGAAGAAGGGGCAGCTAAGGCCTGTTGGCTAGGAAACAGAAATTTCATAGAAAAGAAAACGAGGAGTCAGTATGCAACAGGTTCCATTCCAATTCATCATCAAATTGTGCCCTGTCACTAATGCTGTGTTGCAGAACACTAGTTTTGAAGCTGACAGTACAAGAAAAATCACAGCATGCATAATCCGTGCTTTTCTCTCATGTCCCGTGCACTGCAGCATGTGCAAACACTCTGTCCCCTTGCCACACAGCCAGCCTAAGAGGGTAGCCGCTACTGTGTATCATGCATTCAACTGGAGTTTTGCCTTAAACAGCTTTACTGAAGGATCCTACAAACATCCCCTTTTTGTCACAGAGAACAAAAAGATGAGCGAGTCACAAGTGAGAGAGAACAGGAATGCAGAGGCAACCTGAGACGTGACACTTCGTATCGGTCCGTACACTGACTAGATCGCTTTATGTATCAGAATAGCCTTGATTATCCCTGTCCTAACTCTGCACTATCCCTGTGTTCTGGCTCTTGGGTTGCTGCAGGCAGCTTGAACCCACTTGGGAATGTAACTCCCGTTACCGTTTGTTGTAATTTTGCTCATTTCTATTACAGAATTCCTTCTGCTGTCTTTTTTAATTTGTAACTGGCTTTACAAGATGAAAGTTTAATAAATTATTGGATTGCACAGGCTGTATTCACTCACAGACATTGTGTGCTCATGTTAAGATGTTTGCTCGGAGATCTGACACTCGGAACTTGTAAGTGAAAAGTAGGCATCAACGGCACAGGGAGACAACAGCCCTTCCTCTCAGAAGCAAATTTTGCATTTGTGGCAAATTATGGACAATAATTTGCCACTACAAGGGGGAAGGCTTGTTTCCAGCTTCTGCCGCTCGCTCTGGAGCTGGGTCACACCTTTGGTCAGCAGGAGATGCCCCATGCGGGTTCCAGGGGCTGGTTCTGAGATGGTTACTGTGGTGAAAGCAGAGCGAGGAATGAATGATCTCCAAAGTCCCAGCCTGCAGAATCAGCTCCATCCCTTCTTTTCAGCACCTCCAAAGTCACTAATAACAGAAAATCGCTGCCAGCTGAAATAAGCTGCCAGCTGCACTTCTCTTACAGTAGCATGACCCAGGCACAGTGTTCACCTCAGAGCATGTATCACCAAAGTGGTAAATCGGGCTAGAGATCAGCTGAGCTGTCGGCAACACGGACAGACTATCCTCTAGCAGACAAAAGTCCCCTCAGTACATCCACAGGTACGGAAACCGAGCAATGCCGCATAATCCCCATTAATATGCTCTCATACATCCCTTGGTCAGATGCTCCGAGAGCCTTGGGACCCTGGAGATAGGTCTACGCAATTTCATCTCCAACTGTTCACGGATTTTCAGTTTCTTCATCCTTACCACCTTGCATAGTCTTTCCAGGTCTTTACTTGAGGCTGGAACTGCCTCTGCTTACTTCAGCAGTCGCTTTTCTTCCCTCGGCTGTTACATTCCTTTCTGTGTACTTCCAAAAACACGCCGTCGCTGCCTCCTTTCTGCTTAGGAAGCCTGAAGTCGCAACTAGCAGCTACCGCTTGTTTGGCTGGAGGAGGGTGTCAAAACTAAACACGGGCTGCTTGGCCTACACGTCTCTCCCGAATAGCCCTCTTGTGATAAAACACCTCTCGGCCACATCGGGGTCTGGCATGGCCTGTCTCCCCCACTCACTGCCTGCTGGGCTGCGACTAACTGAAGCTGAATTTTTTCTTGGTGGCAAACACAGAGGCCAACCCCAGTCACCGTGGATTAAAGCAGGAGCTATCTAGCCAGTCTCACTTGTTCGCAGCTGTCGAATTTCAAAATCTGCTTGCTTCATCTAATACATCACTATGATGACAACAAACACGCACCGCTGCAGGTCCAGCAGGACTGTGACAACATGCGCCAATTCATTCATGACTCTGGCTGCAGTGAATAACCACCCAAGGCGATGGCCGACTAACGGCGTTCTCCCACTCCCGTGCTAATTCTGTTTTCTCACCCTGCCAGTGTGATGAGCAGGCCCTGCTGGCCTCCACCCCAGTATTTCTCTAACAGTTAATTCAAGTCCGTATGTTCTAATGTTTCTTTTATATGAAAGTTTCATGCCAATGGGTGTTAGAGTTAGGCTTTGGAGCAGGGCACAACTGATAATCGGCACCTACACAGTAACCATAAAATCGGTTATACACAAAATCACAGCTCCTAGTAAGTTATATCACAAGCACGCGTATCTAATTATTAAACTAGTTTGACTGTAAACTTCAACTGTTTATTTACACCTTGTTCTAAAACACACAGCCTTTCCATATGTAGGCTGTACGTTGCAGGATTACGCTGTGTGTTGACTTCAAAATTACATGCTCCCCGTGGGCATTTAAGCAAATCCCTCACACATGAATTCCGGCCCCCACTGTAAAATAAAAGCTCCTAAATCTGTGGTTTGCAAATCTGCTAAAGTCTTGTCCACATTTTAAACCAGAGGTTCTGAATGCTACAACTGGCTATACGCTTTGGCCCCATGGCACTGTTAACACAGAGGGGATTGCCGAGAACTCGACTGCCGGTAAAATTCACTTGCCTCTACCCGCCTGTTAAGTGCTGCTCTTCAAGCACGGCTGCGTGCTGGACAGCCTTTTAAACCCCAGTGGGGAGGACTCCATCTCATGGCATACCTGGACCCTGCACCAGTGTTCAGGTCTGGATGCAGACACATGATGTTGGGTGACTCCTGGTTCTTGCCAGGCGTGCGCTACCACCCGCTGCCCCGTGGCTCAGGCAGCCCGGCCGGCTGCAGGGTACAGCTGGCTGGCAGGGAGCCCAGCTCCATCTCCTCCTAATGCTGCACTCAGGGACACGTCCGTGGCCTCCTACAGCCCCCAGGCACTGCCCCCCAGCACGGCGGATGCCTCAGGCCTTCCCTGAAATGCTGTGATGTCTCAGGGTTACCAACCCCCACACACGTGTCCTTTCTGTAAAACCAAGCACCAGTAAATCCTGTGCAACTCTTACTCAAAAGAGTGACAGCCCGTCGGTATAAACTCAACTGGTTGTGTAATGGGTTAGGCATCGGGTATGGTTTTTGCAAGTCCAGTAACGGAGCAGATGCATTCATAGGAGCAACTCACCTGTCTTGCCTCTTCGTCCTGCTGCAGGGCCAAGCTGAGTAAGTGAGGGGAAACTCAGCTGTCCCCAGCTGTGTCTCATCAGAGAGAGATGGGCAGAGCAGCATTTAAACCAGGAGCTTTCTCCTTCCAGCTCCTCTGGGATAGCAGCATCCTGGCTAGTCATCCTCTGTGAGCAAAGCGATGCAGAGGAAGGCCTGTGATTAAGCACTTGGAAACAGAGCTGGTCCTGCAAAGTGAGACTGGTGTGGGGCGCCGAGTCTGTGTGGTAGGAGAACCCCTGGTTGCAGAAGGAGGGGAGGTGTGGAGGGAGTCCCCTGGGGCTGGAAGAGGGAAGCGCTGGCTGTTGCCCACAACAAACTCCTTGTTGCATTGCGAGTGCTTGGGCGGGGGTCGAGAGCGCTGCTCGCTCCCTGGCCGCTGTAGGTTTATTGCTGGCAGAGGAGGGGAACAGACCCACCCCTGCCGGGGCTGCGGTGTCCTGGTGTTACGGGCTGTTCTGGCTGCCCACGCTGGCTGTTCTGGCCCTCTTTTCCAGCACCCTGTGCTGGTGTGGTGGGGCTGTTGGCAGTGCTCGTCCCACGCCTGTCAGGCTCGGGGCTGTGCTCAGCTGGCTGCTGCTCCTTAGGAAGCGGCCCTTTCTGGTCTCCTTTCCCAGCAGCTCGCGCTGGTGTAAGGCTGCCTGTCTGGCTCTGGTGTCCGCGGTGGTGTCTTCATCATTTGGCAGCTTATTTGTCAGTGCTGCGAAGCTGGTATGAGACAGAAGAGGTACAAAGCAGGACGGTGGCCGCAGGAGACCATACAAGATGGAAATTTCAGGAACCCGGCCCTTTTCCTCAAAGTAGCTCACCATCCAAGCCCTGGGTAAATGTGCCCTCCTATTATCCACACACACGTATCCGCGGTGGTGTCTTCATCATTTGGCGGCTTATTTGTCAGTGCTGCGAAGCTGGTATGAGACAGAAGAGGTACAAAGCAGGACGGTGGCCGCAGGAGACCATACAAGATGGAAATTTCAGGAACCCGGCCCTTTTCCTCAAAGTAGCTCACCATCCAAGCCCTGGGTAAATGTGCCCTCCTATTATCCACACACACGTATAATTCACGCTCTCACTTGACACAAGATGCTCTTTAAATACCCAGATCATGTTAATGAAAATAAAGACATTTCAATGAAACAGAAAGCAGCTCGGTTGCTAATGGGGATGACATTCAGTCATGCGCATTGGTGAAATCATCTCAACCAACTACTTTGTAAGTTTAACTTGAATATGCATACAAATCCTGCTAGTTTTTACAGAGTATAAGCACCACATTTTTGTATAAGTATTCTATATCATCTGTTAAAGGGGAACTGTGAGACATGACATTTGAACAGAGAAGTTTAATAGAAAGCGGGCGTAGAACGCTTACTATCCCTGTGAGTGTCCCGAGATACAGCGTGCAGAAAGAGATCTTTGTTCTCATTTGTTCCAACAAAAAATGTGCACGTAAGGGGCCAGCGTGATGAAGAAAGCACATTTTGCAATAATTATTTTGTATCACTGACATTCCACTCTCTTAAAAGCCACCTTGGAGTAAGTTATTCTATTTATGCTGAAAAGGAGCAAAGCTAACAAACAACTGCTGTTCTGTTTATAATTATAGTCCCTTCTGCCTTGGCAAATAGAAATCCAGAAGGACTTGCAGTCTGTGCTGCATTACCGCGTGATCACAATGAAAGCCTCATCTGGTACCCTCCCCTACCTAGATCTGCTACAAGTCTTAGTTACTGGCAGATACTATGATAGAGTGCACAGGAGTTTAAGGTGAAAATACCGTAAAGGAATAAAAACAAGATAACAGCATTTTAAGATGGCGTTTATGCTATGCACCATTTGCAAGTTAATTTGCTATCAACAGAAAATTACCTGTTCTAGTGCTTTGTCAACTCTCATCTTGAAACTCTTCAGAACTAAATGGGAAAGGTCCATTAGAGCGACAACTGAATTTTTCTCTCCAGTAGCTAATCTTCTCTTTTCCCTTCTCTTTAATATTGCTCATAGTTGTTGCTTTAAAACTGTGCAAAGTCTGTTTAGTTTGGTCAATAAGAACTTTATGTATTTCTTGACATGAATTCGACTAACTTTTATGACCCTGAGCGTTACACATCCCACCGTGCCCCATACACACAGCAACAGCGGATGCATAAAGGGGCCAAATTGTAATTCTGACTTTTAGCGACAAAAATTGTAATGTTTGGTCTTCGTTTATTTGCAGCCACACCAAAAAAATATCACTGACAGGCCATGCAATTTACTTCCTCCTTTCAAAAATGTTTAGATGTGTAACATACGTCCAGAGCAATGAGCAGATGGTGCATCTGGTTTAAAGAAAAAGGAAAAAATGAGAAGAAAAACAACAAACGCATCAGGCCCAAATGGTGCTCATGCATAAGCACTTGTGGTTGATTTCTATGTCAATTAAGTTAAAGTAAAAACGCTGGCTGGTCTAGGGGCAGAAGTGGATTAACCTTTCCGTGACAGAGAGTCTTC